GGTGCCCAAGGCCTTTGACTGCCCCACTGGGCCTCTTGTGGAGAATGGTCCTGCATGAGTTGGGGGGCAGGCCATTATGCTGTGTCCTGGCTGCAGCCCCCAGATGTTGTGGTCGTGGCCACCTAGTCCACCACCAGCCTGCCACTGCCCCACCTCCCCCAAGACCCAGGGTGCTGGCTGGGGCGCTGACTGCTCTTTGCTCCTTTCTAGACAGGCTCCAAGATGCTGAGTTTGAGCCACCAGAAGGGCACAGCAGGTTCTGCCCACAAGGCACTGAGGCAACAGAGCTGGGTATGGATGTCCCTGCTGGAGGGGTAGCCGGTGTGGGGGCCTCAGGGACCCTCTTCCTACATGCATGCCCCTGTGCCATCCTCTCTCATGAGCGGGGGTCTCCTCCACTGCCCAAGCCCAGGCTGACCGAGGAGTCATTGGCCCCAGCACGTTGCTTCCACCCCCTGGCACCATGATGTGTGTCCAAGCAGAGCTGGCCTCCATGGGTCTTCAGAGGCCGATGTTCTGGAAGGATGTCACCAGAACTTTCTTCTGAGGCCCCTCTGGGTGGCTTGAGCTGCCCACCTTTGGGTTGGCGGCTGAGTGTGTTCACAAGCTCTAGACCAGCTAGGCCTCGCCTTGTGGAAGCAAGGCCACCTGCCTGTAGGGGCAGAGGTCTTTGCAGAGAGGAAGCCCCCTGCTCCACTGAAGAAGGGCCATGTGGGGAGACCTGTCATCCTCCTCCCCCCTCACTCCTGCCCCATCCCTCGCACTTCCACACGTCACTGGCATGGACGCTCGGGGGAAGGCAGTGCCCCGGGGTCTTTTTGAAATTCCCTGGCCCGAGACACATTGGAGCACAACATGGAAGGGCCACTGAGGGACCCAGCATGGAGGTCCAGGGAAGGCTTGGGGTCCCACCCCAGCCCCCAGAGCCTCCCAGGGCCCCTGTTCCTCCTTCCAGGGGCCAGAAAAGAAACAGCTACAGACCTGCCTTCCGCAGAGGCCGCCCCACCCACAACGAAACTCCCTGAGGGCCGAGCTGGGGGCTCCTCCAGCTGCCAGGAGCCAGGAAGGACACTGGGGCCACCCCGAGATGCCCTGTTTGCAGCTGTAGGATATGGGTGGCTTCTTAGCTCATCCACTGAGCTCAAGTCAGATGTTTGCCACTAAACCATGTTTGATTTTTCCTTCCAAGGCTTTAGAGACTAGCAAACGGACTCTTTGCTTTGGAGGTGGCACAGTGGGGACCTAGGGGCTGGGCACAGTGGTGCCTGGTGGACCCAACTCTGATCCACGTGGTCTTCTGTGACTTGCAGAAATGCCCCTGCCTCATCTGAACCCTGAGCCAAGAGAGACCCTGGAGACGGTGAAGAATGTTCTGGAACAGTGCAAGACCCAGGCCTGCCCCGAGGAGCCAGCATGCCGCGGTTTGCACCCCGTGGCCAGTGGGCTGGACTCGCCGGACACCGAGGAGGCCAGCTTCGGCTTGGATGCAGAGGCTGACTGGACGGACATGGAGGCCCTCTGCTCACTGCTGCAGCTTCTGAACGCCGCTGGACACGAGCCCCGCCTCCGAGGCCTGTACGGCCTCTCCCTGCCGCGGCTGGGCAGCACGCTCTGTGGCCTCGGGGATGAGGAGGCGCTGGCTGGACGCCTGGCACAGGCTCGGGAGCTGGCCAAGAGGGCCGGCCTGCCCATGGCCCTGGCCAGGCTCTGCTTCCTCCTGGGCCGGCTGTGCCTCGGGAGGCTGAAGCTCTCCCAGGCCCGTGTGTACCTGGAGGAAGCCTTGGGCGCCCTGGGCGGCTGCTTCAGTGACCTCTCCCTTGTGGTGGCCGTGTACACACAGCTGGCTGCCATCTACCTGAAGCAGAGGAACCGGGAGAAGTGTGCGCTGACCGTAGACAAGGCGGTGGCCCTGCTCCTGGCGACGCCCGGCTCCGTGGGCAGCACCGAGGCCGAGCTGCTGTGCCTGGCCCTGCGACAAGCCGTGCGGGCCCAGAGCGTGGGCGCCGAGGCCCGGGCCTGCTTCCTACTGGCCCAGCACCACATGCGCCTCAAGCAGCCCGAGGGAGCCCTGCCCTTCCTGGAGAGGCTGCTGGTCCTTCAGAGCTGCCTGGGGCTCCCAGACGCCACCTGGCCGGCCGACGTCTACCTGCTGCTGGCCGACATCTATGGCCGCAAGTGCCTGCCCCACTTGGCCCTGAGCTGCGTCCGCGTGGCCTCGCTGCGGGCCCGGGGCTCCCTGGACAGCGCGCTGCGGAGCGTGGACCTGGTCCTGCGCCACGCCCCCCAGCTCTATGGCCCGAGGCAGGTGGCCCCCGGCCTCCCTGCCCAGCTCGTCCCCTACCTGTGGCAGGCACTGGCCTCCCCAGCAGCAGGGACAGAGCGGACTCTGCGTGCCACGTTATACGCCAGCCTGGCCCACGTGCACAGCCACCACGGCCAGTACAGTCAAGCCATCGCTCTCATGATGCGTGCTGTGGACACCAGGCCCACGGGCAGTGCCCACCCTGTTGTGGACCACCTGGTGGCGCTAGCCTGGCTCCATGTGCTTCGTGGGCAAAGTGCCCCAGCCCTGGGCATCCTCGAAGCCATTGAGGATGCGGGAGTGGCCAGCGAGGACCAGCAGGGTGTGATTGCCAATATGGCGGCCATGGCACTGAGGAGGACAGGCAGGACTCGGCGGGCAGCTGAGGGCTACTACTGCGCCCTGCGCATTGCCCGGCGGCGGGGCTGCGGGCGTGACCAGGCGGTGGTGCTGGCCAACTTTGGGGCTCTGTGCCTGCAGGCAGGTGCAGGGCGGCTGGCGGAGCACTACCTGGTGGAGTCAGCGAAGCTCTTCTCGCGGCTGCCCAGTGGGGAATGTGGCTGTGACTTCACGCAGGTGCTGTTGTGGCTGGGCCACCTGTACACTGGCAGGGCCCTGGCCCAGCAGGGCCGGTGCTGCTATGAGTGGGCCTTCCTGGTCGCCGTGGAGACTGGCCACTTTGAGAGTAAGTGTTGCACCCACCCTGGTCCTGACTCCCTCTGTGCCCCACCTCCCCAGCCTGTGCTCGGCCCCCTACTTTCCAGAAAGGAAGCACATTCTCTTCCATCTGTGCCCTGAATACACCTGGGCTGTGGTTTTGACGCCCATGGTGAGAACCACCAAGGAGATGCTGAGTGCTGGGAGCTGGCGTCCATTTGTTCTCAGACTTCATTTCTTTTCTTCATGATTATTTTTATTATTATTATTGTGATTTGGGTGAAGATTTACAGAGCAGATTCACTTTCTATACAGCGATTCACATACACTTTGTCTCATGACATTGACCACAGTTTACCACAGTGCAACAGCTCCCTTCCCACTTCCTCCCCATAGTTACCTCTTTCCTGTGTCCATCCCTCCATGCACTCCTGCCCCCTGAGCTGTCTCCCTGTGCATACACAGCCCTTCTTTCTCCCATGATTGTTCTCTCCAAGGAGTGTATCAACTCATATGCCTGACTTTTGTTTGGCTGGAAACCACAGGTGTGAGTTCAATTCCAGACCTGAAGGGCAGCTAGGGGCCATAGTCTCAGTGGTTCCACCAGGCTCTATCGGACCAGAAAACCTGGTCCCCACCTTTTTTTTTTTTTTCCTCCAAATGATTTTGAGTTTTGTACCACATTTTTCTCCCTCTCTATCAAGGATCTCCTACATAGATCCCCTTCCAAGTGGATGACAGTGGTAGCCAGGCACCATCTAGCTCTTCTGGTCTCATAGTTGTATAGGTTGCAGATTGGATGGTGTACCAGTCGCTAGGACTAATTGTTTCCATGAATTTTGGTTTTCTTCATTCTTCTTTGCTATGGACGAGGAGAGACCCATCGTTGCATCTAGATGGCAGCTTGCTAGCTTTTAAGATCCCAGTCGCTACTCGCCAAAGTAGGAGGTGGAACAATGTTTTGTATAGTATGTTACGCCAATTGAGCTTGATGTCCCCTGCGACTATGGTCCCAAGCCCATAAGTTCAACTACTCAGTCCCTCTGGGTAGCTGGCTGTGACCAAGCTGTGACCACAACCATGCCCCTTGTCAGCTTTACTATACACCTGGGAATTCTGATCATTCACATAAACTTATAGGACCATTGCTCAGACTTCATTTCTTAGAGCAGATTTGAGTTTATAGAAAATATGTGGAGAAAATACTCTCTTCCTGACCCAAACAAACCAGAGAAACCAGTTGTTGAGATAGGCTCCACGGGGCTTTCAGTGCCTGATTTTACAAGTAGGTTGCTATGTCTTTCCTCAGAGGCACCTCTGTGAGAACTTGAACCTGACCTATCAGTTAGCAGAGAGTGTCAACCATTGTTCCAACCAGGGAGGCTCTCCCCTTCTTGTGATTTCCTCTCATTAACATCCCACATGCCTGTGAGACATGGTTACCACTGAGGAGCCGACACTGATACATTGTTACAACCAGAGGCCACAGTCCTATGATACATTGTTATCACTGAGGAGCCAATGGTGATACACTGTTACTAAGCAGACTCAATAGTTCTGTGAGACATTGTTACCCTTGAGGAACTGACACAGATACGTTGTTGCCAACTAGAGTCCATCATTCTGTGATACATTGTTACTAACTTGAAACCATAGTTCTATGATACATTGTTACCACTGAGAGCTGGCATTGATACATAGAGGCCACAGTTCACATGTGCACCCCCTCTGTGTTGCTCAGCCCTGGGGGTTTCAACAAATGCTTCATGTCACGTGTACACCAGGACAGCGTCACACAATACCTTCCCTGGCCCGAAAGTGCCCTGTGTTCCCCTGTTCATCCCTCCCCTCTCCCCTCCCCCAGGCCACCCCGATGTTTTCACTGTCTCTCTAGTCCCACCTTTTCCATTGGAGTCACAGTGCTTAGCCTTTCCCGCCAGCTCTTCTCACTCAGCTACGAGTGTGTGAGTTTCCTCCATGTCCTTCTGTGACTTGGTAGCCCTTTCATCACTGAGTCGTCCTCCATGGGACGGGTGGAACAGAGAGTGGACCACTGTTTGTTCACCGGCCTATGCCTTCATTTGCCTTGAGGGGCTCTGATGCAGGTCAGATGCAACCAGGATGACTAACTTTTCCGGTGTCCCTGGGACACCCTGGTTCTGCCCCACAAGTCCCACGTCCTGGGTGGATCGGGACAGTTGGTCACTCCAGAGGTGAGCACCCTTGAAGTGGGGCTTGAACCCCTGTCACCTTCTGGGCCCCTCCCAGCACCCCACTTTATAGAGGGGCATGAGGACTGGTGGTCTCCCAGGCTGTGGAGCAAACAAACTCCATTGGAAACAGCTTTGCTGGGTGAGAACCTGGCCAGACTCTGAGTCGGTTCCACCCACAACCAGGGCCTTGGGCCCTGCTTGGCACTGGCAGCAAGTGTGGGAATCAGGTGACCAGGTCACAAAGCCACAAAAGCGCATGGCCAGCAGGGTGACTTGTGGCCATGGAAGTGTGCTTAGTCTGTACAGGGCCTGAGGTGCAAGGAGGGGCAGGCCCAGTGGAGGCCCTAGGCAGGAGGCCTCCCAAGCAGAGACCAGGGTGCATGAGCAGGGGCGTCAGGGAGGGGCAGAGCTTGCAGGGAGTAGACAGAGGGAACTGAGCAGGGCCCTGGTCCCAGCTGTGGCTGGGCATTTCCCCAGGACACTGGGGAGCCATGGAGAGTCACAGAGCGCTCACTGAGGCCGTGTGGGGGGTGGATCAGAGGCGCACAGGACAGCAGACAGGAACACCAGCAGTCCAGGCAGCAGAGGGCCAACAGAGGAGGTGGCTGAGGTGGTGAGAACAAGAGAACTGGATACAGCCAGCACTCAGAATGCCTGTCCTCCCAGACCCCTGAGGGCAGGGCCTGTGGCCGACTCAGCCCAGCTCTGGGCACGGGGCCCAGCACTCAGCTGAGGCACTCAAGGGAAGTGACTGAGAAGGAGCCCTGGACATATCCCTGTCTGGCCAAGGGTGGAGAGAAGACCTCATCCCAGCACATGGGCCCAGACACAGGGCCAGCCCTGGGCTGGAAGGGACCTTCTGGAGGAAGTACCAGATCTGTCCATGGCAAGGGCAGGCCCTGGCTGCACTTGTTAGTAGCCTGAGGCCCCCATCAACCTCTCAGAAATAGCCTCCTAAGAAACTCACCCAGGTGCTGGGGGTTTGGGCTGGGAAGGTGATGTGAGCTCATCCAGGTGCTGGGGCTTCAGACTTGGAAGGCGCCGGGGACGGATCCTGTTGCTTACCCCCCGCCCACCTGTCAACATACACACATAGGTACTGAACAGCCAAGGAACTGGTGGAACCCCTGAGACTATGGCCCTTGGTCCCCCTTCAAGTCTAGAACTGGCCTGGGGACTTACCTCTCTGGGTCATTCTTAGTCCAGTTTGTTGGGATCTCTGGTGGCTAACTGCTAACCAGAAGGCTGCGGTTCAAACCCACCAGCCAGTTCTCGGAAGGAAGGTTGGGCAAGCTACTTAGGTACAGACACTGCCTCGGAAACCCAAGGAGGGGTCGCTGTGAGTCAGGTCGCCTCAGCGGCAGTGGGTTGGGTTGGGTTTTTGTCCGTCCCCGCAGGCTGTCGCCTTTGTTGGCCTGCAGTCTCTGGTCTTGTCGGCCGCCCCGAGCCGCCTCCACTCCTGGCGACCCATGTGCAGCGGCCTGCCGCGTGTTCTCTTCCACCTTCATCCCCGCCCCCCTCTCCCCTTCCGCCCGGCTTTGGTTTTGTTGGCTCCTCTTTTCGTGGTTTCTTCAAGTGGAAGCTTCATGATCCATCTGAGATCCTCCTTTTTCTTGATTTTTCTTGTGACTTAAGGGAAAGTTTCCAGAGCAAGCAGATTTTCCGGTCAACTGCGCACACCCATCTTGATTTGCGATGCTGACTGCAGTCCCCACGATGAGGCTCTCTGGTTCCCACTTCCTCCCTCTGGTCCCCGTTTCCCTCCATTCTTTCCTGCCCCTCCTGCCCTCTGAGCGGTCTCCCTGGGCGCCTGCTGCCCTCTGGATCTCACAGGGTTGGTTGTTCTAATGACTGTGCACCTCCCTGGTGTTATATAGTTCATGTTATGAGGTTGTGCTTTGTTTGGCTGAAGGTTGAGCCCCAGGGGTGAGTTCAGTTCTAGACTTGAAGGGGGACCAAGGGCCATAGTCTCAGGGGTTCCACCAGTCTTTATCAGCCCAGTAAGTCTGTTTTGTTTTGATGATTTTGAGTTTTGTTCCACATTCCCCCCACCCCCGCACTCTATCTGGGACCTCCTATTGTGACCCCTTTCAGAGCGGTCAGCAGTGGTGGCCGGGCACCACGTCATTGTTCTGGTCTCAGGGTCATGGAGGCTGTGGTTCACGTGGCCCACTGGTCCTTTGGATGCATTGTTTCCTGCATCTTCGGTTTTCCTCCCTCCTCTTTGCTCTGGACGGGGAGAGACCAGGAGCTGCACCTGAGGTGGCTGCTTGCAAGTGTCTGAGACCCCGGTCATGACTCACCGAAGTCAGATGGAGGCTATTGTCTTTGTGGCCTATGTTGTACCCGTTGGCCTTAGTGTCCCCCAAGACTACGATCTTGAGGCCCCACACCCAGTGACTCATTCCCTCAAGGTGTTGGGGTGTGTGTAAGAAGTTTTCACAACTTACCTTTGTTGCTGCACTATATTCATGGATGTATTTGGAGCACACTGAAGACGCAAGCAGAGAGAGCCTCTGCCAGGCCTGGGTATATTCATGGGTGTGGCGCCGGGCACCTTCCCACCCTGTTCAGCTTGAGTGTCCACCCACATGTCCACCCGTGGATTGTTGTCATCACTGTCATTGCAGGGCTGGGCATGGAACAGCGTTCACCTCTGCTGCCTGGAACTCTTGGGCTCCCCCCAGGTCTTCCTCTGCCTAGACCCCTTGTGCTGTCCACCCCCTTACTGTGTGTTACCTTCCCATCACCGAGCTGCTACATGTCTGTGCTCTAGTTAGTGGCTTACCCTCCCTCCCCCTCCCACTGTGGTAACCTGCAAAGAACAATTCTTTCTCTGTGTGAAACTATTCCTGACTTTTTAGAGTAGTGGTCTCATATAATATTGTTCTTTTGTGATTGGCTAGTTTCACTCAGCAAAAATGAAACATTTATGCACATCTGAAGACTTTACCAAAGGAGTAAAAAGAGAACCTATGGAGTTTGGCAATGACACACAGAGCAAGGAGCTAATCTCTAAAATGCATGGACTACTCTTCCTTGACTCATAGCGACCCCCCTTTGGGTTTCTGAGGCAGTATCACTATGGAATTAGATTGCCCCATCTTCCTTCCAAGGAGTGGCTGGTGGGTTTGAACGACAGCCTTCTGTTTAGCAGTCAAATGCCTTAGGCACTAGGCTACCAGAGCTCCTTAGAGAGAGACAAATTGAAATAACAATGAGATACCATCTCACTCCAGCACTAACAGCAAAGTTTAAAAAAAAAAAAA